GTCCTCCCCAGGAGGCGGCCCCGGGCCCGGCGCAGACACGCCGAACCGCGAGCCAGCAGGCCCAGCGAGGCTGGGGACGGCAAGGCGCTTGCTTTGGCCGCCACTTTGAGGGGTGCCAAAAAGCTTAGAAACCAAGATGTTTTTTAATATAATGTAATTTTTCGTCAAAACTACTGCAAAACTTCCGTAACAAGCAACATATCGAAACTTCAAATGAAGACAGGACCAGTGACAGAACCGCACCAAGACACCTTGGAGTCTGAGGCCAAAGGAGAGTCAGCAACAGTGATTCACTCCATCGGCAAGGGACCAACGAAGTAACTCACGGTGCCATGGAAACGTTTATTACAGTTTTCTGTTAAGGTGGCTGGTTTTGAACACTGGCACACAAGCATCCGTGTCAAGCCCTCGGGGGTACGGCTGGGGTGGACTGCTGGGTCACACGGTGACCCCACGTGCAGCCTGCAGGGGCGCCGCCTGTTCTCCACGGCACCGGTGCCACTGTATGTTCCTACCAGCAATGTACTAGGGTTCCATGTTCTCCACACTCTTGCCAAAACTTGTTATTTTTACTTAAAAGTATATATACAGGCATCAAGGGAAAAAAAGGTTGTTTCCCCACTAAAAGCAGTTTGTCAAAAGCAAGCTCCATGGCCCATGTGTCTTTCCAGACACACAGACTGGCACAGTACCTGGGCTGTGGTCACTGTCAGCACTCAGTTTAAATCTGGAGAGTGAACCGACCCCCGGGGACGGAGCGCCTCGGTGGGACAGCTCGCCACACAGTCCATCTCTCCTGCTCCCACGGGCGTTCTCAAAGCCAAGGCAACGCTCTTGTCCAGGCAGACACCACCAGACCAGCGCCCTTGAGAGCAGTGATGCCCGGCTCTCAAGTCACGATTCTCAGCCTCCTCACAGGCCACAAAATGAGCCAAAATTACAAATCTTTTCAAGTTTTCCTGACAATCTTTACACATATCCAAAATCTATGCACTGGGAAGCCATTTAATGAATTATTAACGGATATTCAAATGTCATATTCATGACGAAAATTCAACACACTAATTAGAATTTTCTGAGATCTCTCATCCAGGATTTCAAGCAAAGTTCCTACTTCAGCTCACCAACACAGATAGTTGGAATTCCTCAAAATTCAATGTATTTTCTATGCTGCTTTGTGGCTACCACAGCAGGGCTGAGTCACCGCAGCAGAACCACGTGGCCCTCAGGGCCTAAAACATTTCTGTCTGGCCCTTTAGAGGAAAAGTTTGCCAACCCCTGCTTTGGAGCATGAAAATAAGGTAAGCCAATTTTCTCTAGATCTTAAAAGGTGAAGTTAACATCTGGGTAATAACT